TGTAGCCTTTATTTTACCATTTGAGGAACGGGCATGGGTGCAGGTGCCATGGGATGGGTGGTGTGAGTCCAGTTGGTGCTGGTGCACATGGTCTTCGATTGCCAGCCACTACCACCCGTCGGCTTCTTCTCTACCAGCTGACTCCACTGGAGCTCTGGCCTGATGCACAAAAACACACACGATCTAACACGTGCATTTACAGGTGCACAGAGGATGCAAAAATCATTGAACTGCGTGAGAGAGCCGACAGCAGTCGTCTGCCTGCGGCTCGGCTTTTGATGTAAGGCAAACCCACTCACTTTTTAGCTGGCGTCCCCCCAAACTGCAGGTCTGGGAGAAGAAATAAAACAAAAATAAACATAGCATCAGTTGAAAGGGAGACACAGCACGACTGGTTAACAGGGAAAAAGTGAAGGGAAAATTTGCACATTTTGTACTCACTGCCAACAAGGTTGGCTAAGGATGAGTCCAAATCATTGGGCAGCATCTTCCCAGAGTGCAACGGGGCTCCAGGACTGTGAATTTGAGTGGGTGGGGATGGCTTTAGCAAGTCACCTGATGTCCACGGGTAACCATGGTAACGTGAAAAGAGAAGAAATGAGTCAAAAAGCATGAAGAAGCTAGCCGTCATTGTCAAAGCATAACATGCTTTAAGCGTGCGCTTGTTTGTGTGTGTGTGTGTGTGTGTGTTTGAGGTAGTGAGTGGGAATTTACTCTCATGCTTCATTGTACGTTAACATGATTATGTGTACATGTGCGTGCGTGTGTGCATGTGCGTGCGTGCGTAGTCCTACCTCCCCAGGCGTTGTTGTTGTTGGGCACAGTGTGTGTGGTCTGGATGGGGGTGAAGTTAGGCTGCAGGGTGAACAGCTCACTAGTCAGGTTTGGCACACTGCAGGAAGGAAAATGGAGTGGAAAGCACCGTTTTTTCCTCACTTTATTCTAAAAATGTAAAGGCTAAAGGCTTTCATCTAAAGACGTAGGGTAACTGGACAAAATATCAGGATAAGATCAAGGTAATAGACTTGTGACATTTAACGAATACAAAAAACACTTTTTTTAGCAGTATAGATAGGAGGCACTTTTTTTCTTTGTAGAAACTATATATATA